CTATATTCCAGGGACGGCGATGCGCCATTACGCATGGCGCAATAGGCATGGGTTATTATCTGAGCAGGTGTGTCTGTGCTTCTAGTGCCGGGCGGACCCAGTGGGGCGCAGACTACATCATGCTTCACCCTTAACCCAATAGCGATAGCCTTAGAGGGCGAAGCCATATACGAAATAGAACTGAAGTTACCTACTGTAACTCCAGCTTCTGAGTATTGGCGAAGCCCTATAAGTGCTGGGCCCCACTGGCTCCACGAATAGCTGAAGAAAAGTTATTTTGTATGGGAGCAGATTGTCGGGCCTCCTTCCTATTTATACCGGAAGGGAGCCCGAGGGTGGGGCCCACCTTGCGGGTGGGCGTGGACTACAAGTGTTTCAGTGCTGCGCGGGTGCGCAGGGGGATTACCCAATAGTGATAGCCTTAGAGGGCTTCGCCAATACTCATAGAAGCTGGAGTTACAGTAGGTAACTTCAGTTTTGTCTTAAGGGAGGGGGTGTTACAGCCACTGTTTTCCTGGTGCTATTAACTCTGTGGTGTGTGTATGCAAATGAGCTGTACGGTTGCTCCGATGTCATTGGATGTCCCGCCCTCGTACCATTCGAAGAGGTGATTGGACCGACGTCATCCAATCCCTGCCTGCTTCCGGCAGATCTTCCGGGGGAGGAGTACAAAGGCCGGGGACGGAGATCATTCGGCAGGCTCTGTGTTGTGAGACAGACGCCTCTAGCCTCTTGTTGTGCTTACTCGTTATGCTCGATAATTCAGTGAATGTTCTGTGTTTTGTTATACTGCTTAGCAGCGTGTTAAAGTAGTGTTCTGTGTTTAGTGTTGTGTGGGTAAAGAAGGTAAAACACAGTTGATTAGCATCAACTGTGTTTTGTTACAGCCTTTTCAGTTTCATGTACCACGTTTTAGTGAGGTTTTTGTTTCTCTTTTGTACTAATTATTACTGTGTATAATCTGTCAAACTCTCTTTTGGAGTCTCTTTATTTTTGGTTGTTGTCAACCAGTATTTGGCCCTTTGTTTGTGCCAAGCTTATGCCTTATTATTTTGTTTCACAACTAATAGTTATAATAAAACCACTTTTACCAATTCCACTCTGGTTTGTGTTGCTTCCCTTTGGTTCCCTTAGCCCAGTAGGGAACGTAACACTCAGTCATTTATTCTTTGTCAATGGAGATCATGAAAATTGAGTTATGTGCAAGTAATGTGAAGCTTTTTGTCATGCTATTGGAGAAGAAAACTCCAATGTAATTAATATTGATCTAGAAATTCACACACTTTATAGGATTTTAACACTCAATTTCATGACATGAAACCAGAGTTGATTAACAACTCAACATTTGTAGACATAATATTACTGTCTACTGTGTTTTCTGGTTTTACACATGAATAAATATTTCATTATAGACTAATGTTATACAGAAATGGATCTGAAAATCAGGAGTGCATAAGTTATTAAGTGTTCACATATTATTCAGTTTAGGATACTATGCAGTATTTATATTACATACAGTCAGGCTTCTACCACTGTAGAAATTGCCCTTTTATACACAAAGAGACCATGCAAATAGACAAAGTATGATTACATGTATAGAGCTTGGCTGCAATCTCACTTGGTCAGAGTTTAGCATATTAGCATGGTTATTTAAGCATTCAACTATAGCAGGGGTAACCAACAGGTCGATCGCGATCGACTGGTCGATCTTCAAAGCCTTCACTGTCGATCCCTAGCATTTAAAAAAAAATATATATATATTTTCCAAAAAAAAAAGAAAATGTTCATGCTCTGGTTGGTTGTTTAAACAATCTTTTTAGACCTAGCTCTGGTTTGTTGATTTGAATCACGCACAGGTCATTTTACAAACTCCAATTGGTTATTAGATATGTTGACGTCTATGAATTGCTGCATGCAAGTGTGGGGTTAAAAATGGTATCTTAACGGTCATCTTGAGGAGTAACTTCTACTGTACCAAGTTCTGCTAATCTTTAACCAACATCGATATGGCTGAGGGTCCGGGGAAAAATAAATCAAAAACGTATTATTTCCACCCGGAATGGGAGCATGAATTTCTTTTCACATCAGCGAAAGAGAAGACTATATGCCTCATATGCTAACAGGCGGTAGCCTTGGCGAAACGGGGCAACCTGGAGCGCCATCATGCGAGCACCCATGGTACATTCAAAGACTCATATCCACTCAACAGCGCATTAAGAACCAAAAGAATTGATGAACTGAAAAGAGGACTACAAGCACAGCAGTCGCTTTTCATCGCGCCTACAGCAAAGAGCAATGCAGCTACAGAAACGTCCCTCCGGATTTGCCATATTTTGGCTCAGCACAAAAAAACATTTACGGATGGTGAGATGATTAAAGAAGCAATGAGCGCCACAGCTGACGTCTTGTTTGCGGATTTCAAAAACAAAGAGGACATAAAAGCAAGGATAAAAAGTTTGTGATACATTTATTTGCAGTCACTTCATTATACGTTAAATACATTTAATTCAAGCTAAGATACATTAGGTAGTTAGTGCTCTTACCTGTGTGCCTCCTTCAAACAGCATTATAACCAGACTGTATCTTCAAACGATAAGTATCAGTTATAGCTACTTGATTTTAGATTGAAAAGAAAAAATCAACCAGCTGGTCATTCTACAGAAAAGGTGGAAGTACTGTCACTTACTTTTGCAGACACCAAAATACATGACGTTGACCTAATACTCACATTCATTATATATGTTTAATAAATAGAGATTGTCTTTGCAATGGTACTAAATAAAAAAATGTAAAAAATTGTTTTATACATATTTTGCAATTTATTTAAAATGCCAAGTTCAAGGAACTGCCTTGTCACTTTGATCATACATGGAAGTGGAGCCTATAGTTTTCATTTAAAATATTTGTTTTCAATAAATAAATCACATTCATATTTACATAACATTACATACATTAAATATAACACTGAAATGGTAAAAAAAAACGCAAATTATTATTAATAATATCAAACAAATGTCAGTCACCAACAATTACGTCATTGGTGTTACTGCTACACAAAAACGCTTTTATTTTTGAAATAATGTACTGTCTCTGAAGTGCCTCCTGTAACAAGAGATCATTTGAGGCAGTGCAGTGGACAAAGACATAAGGTAAGTCAGATACTTCTTACTTTGTTTGTTAAAGGTGTCATTTTATCCTCGAATTTTACGTGCGTCTTTCAAGTCTGTCATTAGTGATACTCATTGCATAGCCCTAGGGGTGAACATTTGAACGGGAAAATGTATTGTATTGAAGAGTTAAACGATTTTGATATTGACTGAAGCCATGTGGTCTGACACATGGCAGCCATTTTGTTAAAATGGTAGTGTTTTCTCCAAATTGTCACTGGTGTTACCGTCACTGGTGTTACTCTTCTTCCTGGTAACACGTAACACCAGTGACGTTCCTATATAAATGAGCTTTTGAATAAAGTGGAGCCTATGTTTTAATTATGTCTATTGTAATCATTATTCTATTTTACTTTCGTCAGGTATGGCAAAATTGAGTGCAGCTGAAAAGCAAAGATTATACAGGCAGCGGAGAGATGCAGACCCTACAACTAGGCTAGAGTACTTGGCAAAACGCCGTCAGGGTTGGGTTTTCCTGCTGGTGGTGCAGGTCAGGCCTCTAATTTCCCCGGTAGAGCTACTTGACGTTCGCAGTAATTTGCGGTTAATGCCTCAGTTTAGTGAACGAGACCCAGATAGTTTTTTTCCCCTGTTCGAACGTGTAGCTGAGACCAGAGAGTGGTCTGACGCTGAGGGGAACTTATTGTTACAGTGTGTGTTAACGGGTAAAGCCCAGGAAGCCTACTCTGCTCTGACGGTGGCAGAGAGCAAGGTTTATCTGACTTTATTTCAGTTAAAGTATTTTATTTTAATTTAAGGGTTTTTGTTTGGCAGCCGCTGCTGCCAGTACTTTGACCGTTTTTTTTGTACAGTGTAACGTTAGTGTGTGTCTTTACCACAGACAGGAATAGTTCATTGTTATATTTAGATTTGAGAAAGATTACAAGGATTTTATTTAGGAATAACACAGATGCTCATCAGACATCTCCGAGCTATTGAAATATGTTATTTAGTTCAGATTCAGATATCAGCAGGTTCTGAATTATTATTCCTCTGTCCCACAACCAACAATAATGTGGATGGGGAGAACTATATCTACTAGAACCAGCAGAGATTCATAAATTACACCAGAGACACAGTAAAAAGATGATACAAACAGTTAGATAAAAACAGACCGATAGAATGGCGCTAGACATTAGTTGAAAAAGGGGATGTATGCAAAAGCTGAAGAAGATAAGATTGTTTAAATAAAGAGTAATATTTAGCTATTTTCAGATAGTTTAATCTTTCTTATTCTTATAAGTGTCTTTACACCAGATACAGTATGAAGATGATTTATGATGTGAAAGGAGGGAGTTAGACGTTTTCCATACCAAGCTAATTGCTGCTATTTTACGAAGTGACATTAAAGGTTTAAGCTAGAAGTTATGCACAAATGAAAAACTTCATATTTATGATGAATATGTATTCTTATTTGTATTTTTTACTTTTATGAGTTATGTACAGTGTTCAGATGAAGAACTCATTGATTTTAGTATTATTTACATACCTTAAGGTATGTAAGGAGGGATTGTAAGAAATTAAAATCAATGTTGATATGACGTAATTTGAATTAAATACATTGTATTTAATTTAAATCTGTTTTATTCTAAAAACCGAATATTCACACATGACTTCCGGTTTTCCGCTAGTGAATCTCGTCATTTCCGGTTAGCATTAGCATGTGGCGAAATGCTACGTTTTCAAACCGTGAATTGAAGGTGAAATGACATGTGATGTCATGTTGTACCCTAAACACTAGAGGCTTCTCAATTCTCAAATTTCCCCTCCTCGACTCCTCGGTCCTCCGGTAGTGACCCGGAAATGAATTTCAGCGCGCCATGTTGAAGGACATCTCATTTCTCTAAATGCACTTCGAGGACCGAGCATCGAGGAGGCTCTCTGGAGGAGCTATGATCGAGGATACACTGATGCATCCTCCACGGCTCCTCCACGGATGCATTTCCGGGAACGGTGGAGTATAAAAGAGGCGTGACACACCGCTGCATTCATTTCAAAACCATGGCGGGAGCAAAGCACACATGTAAGTGTTGATAATGATACGTTGCATTAGTTATTTAAGAAGTGAAATGCGCGATCAAACTCCGCCCGCCCGTCTGCATTTCACCTGATATTCTTTATGTTTTTATCTACATTTTAACTTCACCCAATCCTAGTACAGCATGCCATGATGTTTAAAAGGGCAAACGTTTATTTATTTTTAAGAGTATTAAATCAACACAAACTTTGTTTAGCATTCAGCACTATCATTTGATTTGGGCTATGTTGTTATATATACACACTACAATCATTATTATTACATTATTATTGCTCATTACAGAGTCGGTAAATCTTCCAACAGTTTTAAGCTACACCTTTTACTTTGTCTTTTCACAGGGACAGAGCAAGAAACTCTGACCCTCATCAAAGTGAGGGTCGAGAATGATGAGCTTTTCACAGGCCGAAGGCACACTGCCAAGAAAGCCTGGGAGTGAGTGACATGTTCCTGGTTGGGAACATATGATCCTTAGCATTTACGTATTGGTGGTTACAATTTGTATTTTAATATTGTCTGCTGAACCTGTGAGTTTAAATATCGATTGCTTTGATAGATGCATCTGTTGCTGCAGACCTTATTAATTGCTGACTAGCTTGAAACATCTCTTGTATCACTCAGGGAAATTCTAAAGGCCCTTGGGCTATTAGGTTCTGTAACCCCCACACAGATCGGAAAAAAGTGGGACAACTTGAAATGAAAATACAAGGTAATTATTTTGTAATTTTTTCGTTTACTCTTGTGTGTCTGTGAAACCATGGTTGTGTCTGCTCAGCATGCTGATGTATAACTTTACCCCTTGTTTGTGTTTTGTCGGGACAGGGACCGACGGGAGAGGCCACAGCAGCCACATGGCTGTATTTTACGGCCATGCATGAGGCCATCGGTGGGAGGCCATCCATCGACCCTCCCACCCTGATGGACTCGGCCACTGCTGCTGTGAATTCTGGCAGTGGCTCAACATCCACTGAGGCTGTCCAGAGCCAGGCCACAGTGGAGGATGAGGAGGTCACCAAGTCTGCCTCGGACAGCCAGGAGGATGTTGAGCCATCCACCTCTGCCAGTCCCCCTCCCCGACAAAAACCCCCGCAGTTTATTGCAATTCCTGGAGGCGGAGGCGGCCAAGGAGGAGGACCGCTTCAACCGCCAGCAGGCAGCCAGCGAGGACACCTCCAAAAGATTCCTGGATTTATTTGAAACATTAGTTCGAAAAGAATAGTTTTCGTTCTTTGTTTGGTTTGGATTTGTTATATTGTTTTGTGTTAGGTTTATGAAAATATTTAAATTTGGAATACAAATTAAGTTTGTCGTTAAATCAAGCATGTAGCCTTCTTTACAGTTCGAAATACAGAACAAAAATCAACACATGTTTACTGAAAAGATACAAGGAGATCTTTATTTTATACAAAGCTGAATATGTTGTGATTGTGACATGACTAAAAAGCCAACGTTTTTAAACTCATTGTGCAACCCAAGGTACACTGAAACTCATGATGACCATTTTAATTTCTGAATTGTAAATCTCCACCTCAAATAATTCTGCGCCTAAACCAACCATGTGTAAATTATCCAAATGCAATATCAGGGATGTTGTATTAATAAATCAATAAAAAGTGAGTCAAGTTACAGCATCGCTCAAGCCCTATAAGTACATTTACTAACACATGTATCTTCTTTCTTTTAAAGTTCAGTCAAAGCATACCAATATTTTATCACTGAACATGACTCGATTTCAACACTAAACGTAACACTTTCAGTCGAAATTGTGTGATGGCCTATTTCACATCCCATACCATTTGTAATAAAGACATGTGTCTGTAAAGTCCTTTGCTCTAAATCAGGGGTGGGGAACCTCCGGTCCCCGGGCCGTATACGGCCCGCGAGACAATTTGATAGGGCCCTCGAGGTAATTTATAAACACACGCAAAAAAGAAATCTAGACCGCAAAATAATTAAACAAGCGAGTGCCTGTTTTTCCTGGCCAAGATCAGGGTCCTTGAACACAACACGAGCCTAACGTGTCATCACGTGGTATATGTCTCGTCTGACAGGGGTGCAGTTCTGACGGAGAGCACCAGAACACGGCTCCGGCACTTCAGATAAGGAGCTGCTGTACACATGCCGCAGTTTTTGCGTGGCTGTGTCTTAGTTGTAAGCCCAGTCGCGATCTGTTCATCTGTCATACTAATCATACAGTCAATAACTTTGTTGTTATTAGCATCTGGTTAGCTAGCTATGCTAACGAATATAAGAAGCTTTTTCTACAACCAGTGAGGTAGAGGCACATCTTTATATGATCATTAGTTATAAAAAAAATAAGAGAATAAAGTAAACAGGTATAAAATACTATATGACAGTAAAAACAAGTTGTTATTAATAAACAAGAATACAGTTTGAAAGGGGAGTGATTTGTAAAATATCCATAAATAAAAATAAAATCTGCTTACAGTTCTGTTTCATATGGGTGTTGAGAGATGTATCCATAGAGCTCCTAATTATGCTCTCAAAATGCACCAGATTTATGCTTTCAACTTCAACATTTAAAAAAAATAATCTTCCCGGGGGAGCAAGCCGCCGGACCCCCCTAGAGGAGGTTAGGAAACTAAATTGCACACATCTTGTGTCCATATATTTCTGTTTTTCATGCCATAACCGTGCACGTGCATGCATGCGCGAGTCATGGTAAGATATCTGCATTAAGAGGTTGTTTTTCTTTGCACAGCCTAAAAGAAAGGTGAAATAAATGAGCTGTGATTTTTGTATTTTTAAGCAGAGGTCAATAATTTGTACTGCTCTAAATAAACGTGAGCAAGGTGACATTGGAAATAAGAACAAGGCAAACAAACAAAATAACAGAGTAATACATCTGGCCATTAAAAGCATTTTTAACCTGTCAACAAAACTAATGGGTAACAAAAAAACTGGCCAAAAATATATATCCTCTCAGCAGTAATCGTGGTCGTGCAGCTGGACCGGGTTGTGGTCAGGAGCCGAGATTTGGTCTGCCAGTCTGTCTCTCCGGCCCTGTCCACCTCGCACCCCCTCACAGGACAAGGTGGAGACCTCTCTACCCCTCCTCCTCCTCCTCCTCCTCCTCCTCCTCCTCCTCCTCCTCCTCCTCCTCTCCTCCTCCTCCTCCTCCTCCTCCTCCTCCTCCTCCTCCTCCTCCTCCTCCTCCTCCTCCTCCTCCTCCTCCTCCAGTTCAAGAATGTCTCCTGCAGTAAGGCAGATGTTGTGTAGGACACAGCAGGCAGTGACCACAGCAGGGACAAAGTTATGGTTGACCTCCAAGGCCTTCGACACCAGTTTCCCGAAGGCGCGCTCTATTATGCAGCGCGCCTGTGCATGGCAGCCGTTGAATCGGCTCTGTACCATCCCCTGTAGTGGCTCCCGATAGTGGGTTACAATCATTATGGGGTGTACAATGCAGGGGTAGCCACCATCCCCCACAATTAAGTACCCTGGAGGAGGGTAAAGAGCCTCTTTATAGAGGGCACTGTGCTTCATGAGACGGGTGTCGTGGACTGAGCCCGGAAATCCTACAAATGTTTGTAGGAATCTCCCCTTTCCATCGCATACAGCCTGCAGCTGTATGGATGGGAAGAGCTTCCTATTAACGTAATCCTGGCCAGTGGGTCCGGATGGGGTCCGGATAGGGTCCAGATGGGGCCCTGATGCGTATGTGGCACCCGTCTATTGCACCCACACAGGAACTGAATGCCGGGCTGTTGGCCAACTGCTGGAAGGCCTGCCCGACCTCCTCTAGCTCTGGACCAGCAGGCAGCCTGATCACTGTATGCCTGAGAGCAGCGATGTCCTCCACTCCCTGGTGGACCGTGGAGAGGGGTACCTGAAAGGCCCGGGACACCACACTGTATGACAAACCGTGTGCCAGCCAGTACACGGTCGTCAAGACAGTAATGTGGTGTCCCCAGGCCTGTCTCCTCTCAGGCCCCAGACACCGCATCAAGGCCTCCAGGGAGTCTTGGCGGATCCTGAAGTCCTTCAGCAGACACCCATCACCCTCGAAGTACAGTTTTAGCACTAGGACACTGCTGTTCAAACGTTTGTACATGGGAGATTGTGGGTGTTGAACCTACAAGAAGAATAACGTGTACAGAGGTCAATACCTTTATCCAGCAAACTAAACTCCTTCATCCCGCAATTTAAACTGCACATAAATATTCTGTCATAAGAAATTACGCCATGGCTAAATCTGGCACATTTGATGGTCTCAAGTGCTCGTGTTAACTAATGTGCATGGTCCCTTCTCGAATAAATACAACTACATAAGCCAAAACACAACTTTCTCTTTCACAAACATGCTTTTTCTCTGACTCTCTGGCTTAGACCTATGTGTCATGATTTTCTTGCTCCAAGTAGTTGGTCATTTTTGTATTCCAATTAAAAAAGCCAGCTATTTTTCAACCATTTAAAACATTTGTAAAAAAACACTCATAAATACCTCAAGATGAAGCAGGATGGCATTGCGCATTCTCGCTTTCCAGCGCTGGGAACGGCGTCTTTCCTCACGGGATTTTGTTTTCTGTAGCTCGTACCACTGCCATAAGGCACACACTATTGCGGTCTTCATTCTCAATATTGAGAATATAAATCAGAGGTGTGCCTGGACCTTATATAGGCTGTCAGGTCCCTCATGATTCGGTAATTGATTAGAAATTCGGTGCAGGTGTTTTCTCAAAGAGGTGTGACTTGATGACTTATCATCTCATTAAGCCTATACTAGTAAACAAAAAGGTAAACATACTGTGTATAGTGTATAGACAGTCATTTGGTTTTTTTAGGTGTTTGTGTGTGTGCATGTGTGAATATATCAAACGTTTATAGCCCTTTATTTGTAGGGTACTTTTCATACTAATGTTTTTGTGCGGCACAATACAGAAGAGATGCAGGCCTATGTATTATTATATTATAAATATTCATACATTCTTGACATACTATGCCTTGTTGCAAATTGAATTACAAGTAGGCTAAATATGTGGGGGAACAATGTTCAGCTGATCTAACAGAGATTATAAAATACAGCGCTATGACAGCTGTTGCCACGTATTAATGAACGGACGTCTCTTTAATATGACCGCTCAGAGGAGAAGAGTTCTCATTTCTTTAAACGTCTGCTGCTTCCCCTCCTCTCTCCTCGGTTCCCCTCCTCACTTCTCCGCTCGCATCTCCTGTGGGCGGGACTAAGTATCGAGGATAGGAGTCGAGGAGGGGAAATTTGAGAATTGAGAAGCCTCTACTGGGTTTAACTCTCACTTATTGACGTTGAAATAACGTTTATTAGGGAATGTTTAAATAACCACAGACATCAGAACGATGTAATTTAGCAGCAGAAAACAGCAGGGTTTGCATTGGACCCGTCGACGCCGGCCAATAGAAGAAGACTACAGTTGCTAACCCATGATGGACAGGAAGAAACAATCTCTTTCCTGACCTCGGCTGACCCAACGCACACGCGACAGGCAACCAGCTGAATTGGGAGAGCGCCTCCGCTTGCAATTTCATTGTATATCACCGCATCATTTGTGTAATTAAATGCTGTTAACTTTTATAAGCTTCCCTTGACTCTTTTCAGTTAATCCTGCTCTCAGGGTTCAAGAATTCCTACACTATCTATAACTATCTATCGATCTATCTATAACTATCTATCTGTCTATCTCTCTATCTATCTATCTATATATAAGGAACCGCAGTAGACAAAAGGCGTTGCTATAGCAACACGTCATGTTTACGCTGCATTTTCTATGAGGTAAATATTACCCGCTGGTGGATATAGGTATAAATGGCAATTTCTTGGGCGGTTTTTTCAATCTGACCTCATATTGACAATTTGTAACAACAGAGGGTAGTACATAACACCCTTTCAGGAAAAGTCACGGACTGGGAGACTTTGATATTTTATTGAAAAAAAGTTACATAGGCTACAATCAAAAAACAGCTGCGGGGAAAATTGACCCGTTGGCGGTTCTAGTGTTAATGACTGTTTGAGGCAGTTGTAAAAAAGCCACACAGAAAGAGCTTATGTAACAGCTCACCGCTTTCCGTTTTTCATTTAGCAATGAAACTGTTGTGAATGTGAGCCCCGCAAACCTGTGTACAACCCACTGTGTCAACAAGTAAAGATTTTTGTCAAAACCACTTAACTCCACAGGCCCGGCCCTGAATCAGCACCGCACACTGGGCCAGCAGGAATACCCCGTGTTTGGATCACCCATCGTGTCTGTGATTGATTTTAGCTGCAGGACGTATTGCACTTAAATTAATCCATGTCCCTTCAGTCAATATTACCCACATAAAGACACACAAAAACACACAGCTGGAAACACTACTCTCCTTCTCTTTAACGACTTCCATCCCCTTTCCCTCTCTGACATTGATATTATTAAGGATGTGTATAATTGTATTCCCAGGCACTTAGCAACCTTTAGCACACATTATAACCTAAACTGCTCAGCCTTTTTCGGAAAATGATCTCTTGTTGTCCTAAAACAACAGTATTTTTTTTTCACTTGTTTGCTAAATGATGGAAGCTGGCAGGGGCGGCGGGTACTGTATGCTAGGGAAGGCTAAGCCTTCCCAAATATTTTTGTCACTGCATCCTGGTAAAATAAAAATATAATGTTTGTGTCTTTGACATTAGCGCTGCTATGCAGCCACCTGTGCCCTGTACTACGAAGCCAGTTCAACAGACCATGGATATGTTTGAGTTATCTTAACTAACCCTAACAAACGAGATCTAGCTAAGCGGTCCTACGACGCTGGTTATCAACTCGGTAAATCAAGCAAGGGTTTCTCTCTCCA